CACTAGCGCGATTCCAAAGTAAATCGAGAGAAAGGCTTGAGCGAGAGCGTGATTTCTGAGTGTCGAGAGCGCGGCGTTTGAATACATTGCGAGGAAGTCCCATGCGAGAGCGCGATTCCTGCAGAAGTTGTGAGGAAGACCCACGCGAGAGCGCGACTCCTGCATACACCGTGAGGCAGTTTCAAGCGGGAGCCGCTGTTTAACTCTCTCGGGCGTTGGCAGAACTGGGTTTAGTGGGACCTGATTTAGTGATGTGTACTTGGGGGCGTCCCCCGTCCCAATCCACTAACCGGAATTGTCGTCACCCGAAAAACACCGGCTATGGCCGACCTGGTTTGGCGATTCCAGTCCATGTTTTGGACTTCGGGGGCCAATCACTAACCGGCACCCCTTAACCGGGGTCCTGGCTATGCCCGACTCTCTGAAAGAGAACTAAAACACTCACGCACACACACATGAATACACACAAATAAAAAGATCCCACATATTTTCCAATATGTTCTGGGTGTTTGTCTTCCCCCCCACTTCCCATATGTTCATCTATTTTCTGGGAATCGCCGATTCATTGTGTCTGTGTGTGTTGTTTCCCCTCCCGACTCTCGTCCCTATGGAATCATGATTGGAGGAGGAGGTGGGACTGCGCAAGGCATGGGTCGCGCCGCACAGACACCCAGGGAGACCAAACCTGGGGGCCGCAGGGAGACCAAACCTGGGCGCGCAAGCCGCTGCTAACGCCTCGTTCTCAGCCATCTGAGGGCCCATCTGTGCCCGCACCAAAGGTCACTCCTGCGAAAGGTCACTCTTGCGTCTAGTCGATGGTTGGAGGAGGCGGTGGGACTGCGCAGGGCATGGCTCGCGCCGCACAGGACACCCGGGGCACCCTCGACCGAACCCCCCTCTGCGCGCGGCCCAGGCTGCGAGGCGCTGCGAGGAGCGGCGGCGCCCCACGGCGGAGGGGCGCCGCGCGGACAGCGGCCTCTGGCGCGGGCGGGCCGGCGATCAGGACGTCGGCGAACCTGGCCGCGGCGCTTCGGCGGCGAGCGAGGGGAGGGACTGAGAGGGGGCAGGCCTGGCCTCCTCGGAAGGCGGCGGGGCCTCCCAGGAGCTCCCTCGCGCCCTCTGAGCCGTTCTTTCCTCTGCTTCCGGGGAAGGCTCAGAAAGCTTCTCAGAAGGCCGCTGGCCATCAGAAACAGAGGAGGAGGAGGAGGAGGAGGAGGAGGAGGAGGAGGAGGAGGAGGAGGAGGAGGAGGAGGGAGGAGGAGGAGGAGGAGCAGGCCTTCTCCTTCTCACTTCCCCCTATTCGCTCGCCGGGCCGCGGCGGTGGCAGACAAGGGCCGAGAGCGAGCGGCGGCGCGCCGACGGGGGGGGCGACTTGCCCCCGAAGCGACGAAGACAGGCACGGGCTGCACGCCTCGGCGGCCAGGACGTCGGCGAACCTGGCCACCAGAGCGAGGACCAAAACTCGCCATCGCTCGGACGTCCATTCCCTGTGCTTTTTTTTTCGGTTTCGCGCATGGCATTGTCGCCAGAAGATCAAGGATGCTCCTCGATGGCTCTCGCCGAGAGAGAAGGCACACGCCCGAGCGATGCCAGGAAAAACCACGGGTCTCGCGCGACGGGGCACGGCGTTCTCGCGCGGCGGCCTGCGCGGGCCGCCGGCGCGGCACGCTGCGCCAGCCGCCGGAGACGAGGGCGCCGACGCGCGACCTGGCGCGGGCAGCTGCCGCGCCCATGCCGGCCCGGCGCGGAGGGCCCGTTTTTGTTGGCGTCGCCCACCTGGCCGCGGCTGTGTCGGGGAGACGTAAGACCCGGGTACGGGGGACTCGGAAATCCCCGACGAGGTCGTCAAAAAAATGACGAGGCCGAGCCTGCAATTTGACGAGGCCTCCCGCTGCAGACATCCCGCGAAACTCCTCCTCGTCAAAATCCGAGGCGCGGTCGTCAAAAAACGATGGCGAACCCGAGTCCCGGCAAACCCGGGTCTTACGCTCCCCCGACTGTGGCAGGCAGGGCCGAGAAAGCCCGGCGGTGTGCCGAAGGGGCGACCTGGGAGAGCAAGAGATCGGTCGGCATCGCATCGGGGCGTCGGGGCGGATCGGAGTGCGTGTTGCAGGGGGCCGCACGGGCACGAGGTCGAAATCGAATCGGATCGGCTGTACCGGGAGACACACTTACGCCATGTAAGCATCGGGCCACGTCGGATCGCCAGGGGATCGCCGGGAAATCGAAATCGAGGCGGATGGAACTGGTAGAAATCGATATCGAACCGGATCACTGGGATCAAAATGGGCCCCAGAGGGGGCAGGACTTCTCAGAAGACGGCGGGGCTTCTCAGAAGCCCTCCTGCCCTCTCAGGACTGAAAAGCCCTTCGTGGCTTCGGAGAAGGCTGGGAGAGCTTCTCGGAACGATCGCCTAACTTTGTTCATCGCATCGCGCGAGGCGCGATTGTTGAGTATCGTTTCACCGATCCCCATCCCCAGCGGCGTGGCCTGGGCCCCACTGGCCGATTTACCCCCCTAGGTGGGGACATAGGCCGTTGCCTTCGGATTTCGAGGGGCGTTTCCCCAACTGGGGGGGTAATTTGGTGGGGGTCTCGAAAGGGATGAGGATGGGGATGGGGGGTCGGTTAATCGATACTGAAAGATCTTCGCGCCCTCGGGCCCTCGCACCGCCCCCCCAGAAGAAAGGCAGCTCGCGACGCGCGAAGTGCGGACGTCCTCGCGCCCCGGGGGAGTGACCTACAGCCGGACTTGAGGTGGCAGGACACCCGAGAGGACAATAAGACTCCTCCGACGGGCCACAGAGCACCAACAAGGACGCGCGGGTTGCCTAGATCGAGACAGGCAGGACACAAGGGACCCCTCGATTTGACATGGTCGACCTACCCAGCAGAGCCGACTGCAGGAGAACTGAGTTCCTTGATGGGAAGGGCGATACATGGGGGGGGGGAAAAGGTGCACTTTTTGAGCCCTGAAGTGAACTTTTTGCGCCCGAAATGGGCCCCACTAGGGGGCCTGAACCCCCTTTCCTGCAGCCCTCGCTGCCCCCCGAGTATCGCCCCCGCATTTCGGGGGCGGCCCAGAGGGGGGCGTCCAAGAGGGGGGGGCGCAAATCATGGCCGGCGGCATGGGGGGGGAACAGGGACGCGTTGAAATGAGAAGAGGCGCCATGAAATCTGGGGAGATATCAAGGCCACCGCAATGATATCTCCCCCCCCCTAGTCATCACCCCCCTCTTGGCAGCTCCCGACCACGAAGCACGCGACGCAAGGGGGGCCCGGGCTGCGCTCGGAGAGTCCTGGAGCCTCCTCGGGCGGCCCTCGCCCCCGGAGGCCGCGCTGAGCGGGCAAAAAACGCGGCAGCTCCTGGAGCTCGCCGCGTGATCACTGCCTCCTTGCTGTGCTCCCAGGTGGGCGGCGGGGGACTTGGCATTATGTCGGGCGTGCCCCCCTACGGGGGATTTTCGACGAAACATAAAAAATACCCCAAAAATAACCCAAAAAGATAGAACAAATAATCAAAATTAGTCCCCTGGTTATTTTTGGAATATGTTTTAATATTTTTGTGGTATCTTTGATTTTTCGTCGAAAATCCCTCTGTAGGGGGACACGCCCGACTCAAAGTTGGCAGGGGAGTTGGCCGAAGAGGCCTGCCTATCGGGAGCTGCTACAGGTGCCCCTGGCCCAAGGTGCACCCAGCTTCTCGTTCTATTCTGGAGGAGCCCCTGGGCCCCTCTGGGCCTCGCGGGGGGGGGCTGCACCGGAGGCCGGGGGGACCTCCTTGGGAATCCTGGGGCACCCTGGGCCAGGGGCACGTCCAGCATCACCTGCTCTTGGTGGGGAGGGGTCTCCTCCCCTCGCCGAGCCGCGCCTCCGGGGCCGTACCTCCTCTCGCAAAGCAGCTGCTCGCAAATGGCCTGGATCCGCCGCAGGGGATTTACGATAGATCTATCTATCGATCTATCTACCGATATATATATATATATAGATACATATTTCTATCTATCCATCCATCGATCCATCTATCTATATGTTACTGAGGCAGGCGTACGGTTTGTCGGACGCTTGACGTTTGCGAGCCGGCACTTTGCGAGCAGCGGAGAGCGCGCTCGGCGGCCGGGCGTCGTGGGCGCTTCTCGGCACGGCGGGGCCGGGCGGGGCCCACTGCCTGGCGGCGAGCGCGGGGGACAGATCCCCTACTCGACGACGCCGACGACGACGACGACGACGACGCGAGCGCGGGGGATAGATCCCCTACTCGACGACGCCGACGACGACGACGACGACGCGAGCGCGGGGGATAGATCCCCTACTCGACGACGACGACGATGACGACGACGACGACGACGACGCGAGCGCGGGGGTGAAGCTCGAGCAGGGGGCCGACTCGTTTTTGGTTTCCGTCGGGTCTGCGGAAGGTGCGCAGAGTGCTCCGTAGGTCTACCGCGCATCCTGCGCATCCCTTGTGAACTCGACGGGCAATTCAGTGCAAATCATTGTCGTGGCAAACCAATTCTGTGGTCGATCTCCTAGTCGAGCAGCGGGAGGGGGCAGGGCTTCTCAGAAGGCGGCGGGGCTGGCTGGCAACGGGTGCCGCGAGGCGCGGGAGCCCCCACCCACACTCCATTTGGGGGGAGGAGCCGTTCCCCATGTTTCTCAAGACTTCATGGAGTAGTTCTTCCCCTTCTTTCCCCGTGCTGTCCCACCTTTCTCTTGTGTCTGTGCTGACCTTTCCATCCTGAAGCCTGCTCCCCCCCGTCCTCCCTCGACTCGGGGGCGTCCAAGAGGGGGGCGTCCAAGTGGGGGGTGGACCGAGGCATGCGGACAGCCGAGGGGGGGCCAGGCGACGCACTGAAGTAAGAGGGGCCAGCCCGGCCATGAGGCCCACCCCTCTAACTGTAGTCAACGCCCCCCTCTTGGCCGCCCTCGATCGACGAGCGCAGCGTCGACGAGGGCGGCGGCGGCGACGACGACGGGCATGCGTGAGGCGGGGCGGCAGACGGCATGTCGAAGCCCAGGGAGGAGACGTCGTTGGCGAGCAGCCAGCATACCTCGCCGCCGCGAGGCCCCCCCCCCCCCCCCCCAGAGCCCCGCGTCCCAGGCCTCCGCCACCCCCTGGGGCGAGGAGGGAAGTTCTGGAGATTGGGGCTCCTGGAGCGTAGATAGGGGAGCCCATAACAACAAAAACAAAACTTTTTGGAACTCCGCGCGGGTTTCTTGGATCGACGCTGGACACCCCCTCCCCGCCTTGCGGAGCCCGCCGGTGGCGGCATCTTCCCTCGGTGGAGGCACACTGTCGATATTGGCGTTGGTGCCGGCCCCTAGGCCTCCGACATAACTCCATGCGGACATCGGGTCGCACTGGATCGCAGGGATATCGGAATCGACTCGAGACGGCTGGAATCGACTTCAGGTCGGATCGAATGGACCCTGCACGGCCCAGACGCTCGACGTCATGTTGTCTTCACAGCCTGAACCTCCAGAGGTCTGGACCCGTTCCCCGCATCTCGAGTCGTCAGCTGATGGCCCCAGGGCCCGAAACGAAACACAACACGAGGGGGCCATGATGGTTGTTGGTCCGGAACTCGGGCCTCTGACGGCCGTTTGGGACGATCGGGCCCCCGCAGAAGGCTCTCAGCGCGGCGCGCCTGCTGGAACGCACCCCGAGGTTGGAAACAACGCCAAGACCGGTCGGAAACGCTCGAAGACCTCGAAGCTCTTGCACAAGGAAACACGTCTTGAAGGGAACGGATCCTGGCCTCCAGAGGCCTTCTTTAAGGAACAGTTCGTCATGCGAACGTCTTCTTATTCTACGATTCGACATTGGGCGGAAGGGGGGAGGGACGGCGGGGGTCTGGCTCTGGACTCTGGACCTCTGCTGAATGCTACTGTTTGCAACAGTGCGTCCCATGGGGGAGAGACTCCACCTGCTTGAGACAGGCGTCAAAAACAGCCAAGATCTACTCCATGGGGGGGAACATTGCGATCGGCAAACCAATGAATAAGAAAACGATCACCATCCTGATCGTTTCATGGCGGTCCTGGGGCCCCGGGGCGAGATACACACACAGAACATTGCGGAGGTCCGTGCGGACTCCTTGAATCGGCCAGAGGCGCCGCCGGGGGGCTCCCGCGCCGATCCGAGGAATCCGCGCGGAGCTCCAACATTTATGCTTATGTCGTCGCTAAATCCTCGAATACGGGGACAGAAGCAAAAACCCAAGAAAGAAACAAAAACATAAAAATAACAGGAACAACAAAAAGAGAAACAGCCGAAGTCAGCACGGGAGGCGCGATGGGGGGCACGACTTGTCGCCCTCCTCTGCGCAGAGACCCAGCAACAGGAATCAGCAAGCATCCAGTGCAGGTTTTTTTTTGTTCGGCATGACGGGGACAACTCCGTGGTACCCGTTTGCCTCAGGAGCCGCTTGCTTCAGGGCGCCTGGCGCGTCGGCCCCGCGCCCGCGGGGGCCCCCGGAGCCTGCCGGGGGCCGGCCAACTGGGAGGGGAACGAGGTGGGCGGGGGCTTGGTGGGCCCTGGAAACGACAGGGCCGTTTTTTTTTACCGGTTCCGTTCTGCCGTTTTTTGTTGCCGGTTCCGACGCCGTTTTTTCACCGGTTCCGTCGCCGTTTTCTGACCCGTTCCGGCTCCAGTTCCGATCCTGGAGCCGTTTTTTGTTGCCGTTTCCGGTCGCCGTTTTTTTTGCCGCTTCCATTTTCGATGGACATTTTTTGGAAACGGTGAAAAAACGGCCCTGCCGTTCCCGGGGCCCACAAAGGGCGGGGGTGAAGAAACCGAGGAAACAAGCACAACAATGCTAAAGCAGAAACTTTGGACGGTCCGTGTGGATCTCTTGGATCCGAGCCGGGCCCCCCCCCCCTCCCTGGCGCACGGAGCGTGCCAGGGGCGGGGCGGCGCCGCAGGCGCCGACACGGGGGCCCCAACGCAGCTCCAGGAGATCCGCGCGGAGCGCCGAACATTTGTGTATGCCGTTTCGTCTTCGCAAACTACATGCAGGGATGAACAACAAAACCCTAGCCTGGGTTAATTAAAAGGGCGCGGACCGCAAACCTCCCGGGGGCTCCCAAAGGCCAGATGGCCGCCAGGACGCTGCGCGACGCGCGCGATACGCAGGCTTTTCCCTGTCAGCCCACAGGAGGTTAATGTAGGTTGCCCTCAGGACCCGTTTGCCCTCAGGACCCGTCTGCTCGACGACGGCCCTATCGGAGGCCCGCGGCGTGCCCGCCTGCCCCACCTGCGGGCGAGGCCCGCGGGGGGCAAGACGAGGGGGGGCGGGCAGAGGAGCAGACGCGGGGCGGCAGTGGGCGGGGGGCGGGGCGGGCCTTGTGCCGATGCAGCTCCTCCGGCGGGGGCGAGGGGACGACGACGACGACGACGATGGCGACGACGACGACGATCCCGACGCCGACGCCGAGGAGGGAGGAGCCAGTGAGTGAGTGAGGCGCTCCCCCATGCGGACCCCTTACTGTCACATGAGACTGGAAGCTTCTCGTGCGGGCACCTCATCCTTACCACCGAAGTGAGAAAGGAGGCGGAGGGAGAGGGCGTGCAAGAGCTGGGAATCTTTGGAATCCGCCATGGTGAGGAAGGAGGAGGTGGAGGAGCAGGAGGAGGAGGGACGTTTGGCGACGCGCACAAGCGAGGTGATGCGAGGGAGTGGCCTTCTGAGAGAGCGGGGAGCTTCTCAGAAGACGGGTGCATACTCAGAGGTCCCTGGAGGCTTCTGAGCAGGCTTCTCAGCAGCCAGGGGTGGCCAAGACGGCTGCCAAGAAGCCCCTCTGCCCTTCTGAGGATTCCCAGCCCGAGCTTCTCGCAGATGTCACCCCCGCGCGCGTCGGCCCCCTCGTGCGCACCGCCAGAACGTCACCGGTGGGGGGGGCGGCCCCGGGGGGGGGGGTCGAGTGGAGGTAATTGATTGATGTACCTCAGAGTTGATTTGCTCAACTTCGAATGTGGCGGCGAAGCCAATTCAGGGGCAAATCAATTCAGTAGTCGATTCCCCTAATCGAGGGGGGAAACATCGGCCTGGATCGGAGATGCCTCGCTGATAGATCGCCGAGTGGGTCCCCGATGTTGCAGATCCGCAAAGTACTGGGCGGAGAGGGCTATCGGGCACCTCGGGGATCCATTGACCCGGGTCAATCCAAACCCGGGTCACTCGGGCCTCGCAGGATCCTGCAGCATCCTGCAGGATCCAAACCTGGGTCAGCGATCCTGGCTCTGCAGCATCCTGCAAGGTCAAGCGCTGTGACTTGCCCCTGTTTGCATGGACCCACGTCTCCCATCGCCCATGGACTGGGCGGGCCGTGCACTGGCACAGGTTGGCGACAGGATGCGCTCACGCGCCGGGGCTACAGCACAAGCTGGCAGCGTCGTGCACCGCATCCTGCGCAAGCTGGACACCTGCACCCATCCTGGCTGGGCCGATCCTGGGCACAGGATCGGTGTGCATGCCGTCCTGGCCAAGGCGAGCGTGCACTCCGAGCCCCGAGCCCCCATCGCCCATAGGGGGCTCGGCGGTCGACCCCCCGCACTCGCCCATGGGTCGCCGATGGGCGATCGGCGATCCATGGGCGACCGGGGGCAGAGGCATCCACCCTGTGCCGATCCCCCCGTGGCACTGCCCCTGAGGAGGGGGAAGGAGGAAAGCGCTCCTCCTCCTCCTCCTCCACCTCCTCCTACTCTCCTCCTCCTCCTCCTTCCTCCTCCTCCTCCTCCTCCTCACCTCCTCCACCCTCCACCTCCTCCTCCTCCTCCTCCTCCTCCTCCTCCACCTCCTCCTCCTCCTCCTCCTCCTCCACCTCCTCCTCCTCCTCCTCCTCTCTCCTGCTGCCTCTCTCCTCCTCCTCCTCCTCCTCCTCCCTCCTCCTCCTCCATACATGTTCGTAGTGCCTTTGTCGATATGGCCGAGCCAGGCTATAGCTGCCGCCACCTGCACCTGGCAGGCCCACGGCCCTCCGCGACATCGGACGCCATCCTTTCCCCACGGCGCGGCAGCGCCCCCGGACCCGAACTTTAAGTCGGGCCTGTCCCCCTACGGGGGGATTTTTGACGAAAATCGGGCCGGGCGAAAGGGGGGGATAGCAAAGGGGGGGTTTGAGAATCAGCTCACGTAGCTGATTTTCCCGGCGCGCCGGAGGCGGCCATGTATCGAGGAATGGGCCCCTCGGTGGGGCCGAAACCAGCTGCATGCAGCAAATTCCGTAACCCCCCCTTTCCCAATCCCCCCCTTTCGTCCGTCCCGAGAAAAATAAAAATACAACCAAAATACCCTAAAAAGGTCCAACAATATTCAAGAAATAGTCCCCAGACTATGTTTGGAGCATTGTTTGAATATGTGTTTGGGGATTTTTTATCTTTCGTCGAAAATCCCCCTGTAGAGGGACAGGCCCGACTTAAACCCTGACTTCGAGGTTCGCGCCGAAACTGGCGACCTCGATGTTGCTTCGGACCCCGCGGGCGGCGGCGCGCACACGCAGCCGAACATTGAAGATCCGGGGGTCAACAAGGGGGGATGATGGACTTGCAGATGGCACTGCGCTGCGTAACCGGCCGCTGTGAGGTGCAAGAGACGGCCGAGGCGCGACATCGGCGCTCGGACTTGGCACGCCATCTGGCTAGATCCTCCTCCTCCTCCTCCTCCTCCTCCTGCATGCGCCGTGTGCCGTCGGCGTCTCAGTAGCTCTAGGTCGCGCATGTCCTCCTGCAGGCGGCTTCTGGACGAAGCACCGAACATTGCCAAACAGTGCAACAGGTAATCAGAAGTCGTCTCCAGACCATTTTTGTTTGTTTTTTTGTGGAACCTTCCTCCTGTAGAGGGACGTGGTGCCCGGCTGAAAGCCAGGCCCTCCTCTGGCCCCTGCATGCGCCATGCGTCGGCGTCTCAATGGCCCATGGCTGTTTTTTGTTTGTCCGGGAATGCCGGTGGCCTCGGCCCAGGTGCTGGCTCACTGGGTGCCCGGCCGCGATAGGTCGCGCCAGGCACGGCAGTGGGGGGGGGCGCGCGCGGACTCCACCACTGGGGCCCCCGGTGGGCACCCCCACGGGGCCACGAATCGCTGCGCTTGGTGGCGGGGGGGCGCATGTGGACGCCGCCGCTGGGGCCTGCGCCTACACGCCGGTGAAGCAGGGAGGCGTTGGAAGTAGATTGGGCTTCCGCCCGCCCCCTGAAGAGGAAGAAGGAAACCGGTCGATCCATGAAGCAGGAAGGCGCACCAAAGTAGATGGGGATCTGGGAATCCAGGAAATACCTACTTTCAACGACTGGCGTATATAGAGAGGGGGAGCGGTGAGGGGGGGGGGAAGGGGGGGCAGAGGAGAGAGTGGGCGGGGGCGCCGCTGCACCCAATCTGCCTGCCTCCTCCAGCGCGCCCGGCCGCGCCTCCAGGTGCCCCCGTACGGCCGCGCAGCCCGCATGGCCGCACACCACACACAGGCACACCACACACACAGACACACAAACACGAAGACACAAATACACACAGACACGCCTACAGTACACACAGACACACAGACAGACACAAAGACAGACACACACATATATATATATACACACACACACCAGAAGCCCCGAACACGCGGAGGTATGAGAAGGACGATGACGAGGAGGAGCAGAAAGAAAGGATGAGGACGCGGAAGAGGAAGAGCAACACCAGGATCAGGATGGGAACGGAAATGAAGATGATGGCGGGTATAGGGAGGATTGATAAGGTGAATTTTGAGATCAGGAGGGCAGGAGGAGGACAACCATGGTGATGATGACGACGATGTATGCAAGACTGGGGACCTCCTGGACGGGGTCGGAGTAGATGGGGATCGGAGGATCGCGCCGCATCGGCGGCGCATCGGCGTCACCGGCGTGGAGGAAATCGGAATCCACGTATGCGGCGCGATCCACCGACCCCATCTGCTCTGACCCCATCTGGGAGGCCTACAGGGACGTGATGACGCTCGGTATGCCGACGATCACCTTTCTCTAGAAGAAACGAAGCCATAAGCATAACCTGTTGGCGCTCCGCGCGGATTTCTTGGAACCGCGGTGAGACCCCGTCTCTGGCGCGCGGAGCGCGTCAGGGGCGGCGCCGGACGCGCCGCCAGGGAGTCCCAACGCGGATCCAAGGAATCCGCGCGGAGCGCCAAAATTCAATGTTTATGCACATGTTTCATCTGTCTGTCGTAACTATGTCGCTCTGAGCTCTGTCGCTCTATCGTAGACTGCCAGCTCTGTCGTAGCTGTCGCCTGCGGCTCCCTCGAGCGAGCAGGACTCCCGGGTGGAGAGAGAGGAGCGTGGGCGCTGGTCGGCGCAGGGCGACTTGAGACAACGGCACGAGGCAGAAGCCAGGACGAGGATAACTTCGTGTGGGGATAAATTGCACGCGCGCGCACAGGACTGGTATGCTCTCGGGCGATGCCGAGCTCCCCATTGAGAAGAAGCCAGGACGAGGAGAACATCGGGGTGGACAAATCGAGAACCTCTGAGATCCAGCGGCTCTGGAGGATGCCTCGAGCGCTGCGGTCTTCAGAGCGTTCCAAAAGGCTCTGAGAGCGTTCTGGAGCGCTCTGGAACATGTTCCTCCTCGTCCTAACCCCGTCCGACCTAGAAGAAGAACAAACGCCATGAACCAAAACTTTGGGCGCTCCGCGCGGCTTTCGGGGGGGGGCCCAGCGCAGATTTATCCTTAGGTCGGGCATGTCCTCCTGCGGGCGAATGTTGGAAGAAGAGTGAAACGTAGTAAAACAAGTGCTGCAACAGGGTCGAAACTGATCGACACGTCGTCCTCAGACTGTTGCCTGACCATGTTGGATGTTATTCCTCCTAAGAGGGACGTGCCTGACTGAACTCTTACCCTCGCCAGAGGCCCCGACGCAGCGGTGCTCCGAGCTGCGTCCAGCCGCGGCGGCCTGGCGGCGAAAGGGCCCCCCCCCCCCGGGAGGCCAACTGCCGCTGTCCCAGCCCGCCCTCCCCTGAGCCCAGACCCCCGACGTCGTGACTCTATGTATTCCCAAGTCAGGGAACGAAGAACAGCTTAACCAGAAGAACTCGGTCTTCATTCACAAGTAGTGGAACGAAGAATAACATAAACTTCATTCTTAACTAAAAGAACGATTCATAGCTTTATTCGCAAACCGGGGAACGGAACATGACATAAAAAACATATGAACTTGGAGGTCCACGCGGATTTCTCGGATCCGCGCTGGACCCCCCTGGCGGCGCCTCCGCTGCCACCCCTGGCGCGCTCCGCGCGCCAGGGAAGGGGGTCCAGCTCCGATCCGAGAAATCCGCGCGGACCTCCGAGTTCTTATGTTCATGTCATCCTTCGTTCCCCTAGCAACGTCGAACCCCAAGGGTCTCGCCCCTTTCGCCGGTCGTCTTTTGACGGCCCTGGGGCCCAGCGAAGGCCCCCCAGAGGTCGAACATACGTAAAGGGAAATTAGGACACACAAATAAATACACACAAATAAAACTATTCCCCATATTTTCCCATATTTTCTGGGTTTTTGTCTTCCCCCCCCACTTCCCATATTTTTGCATATTTTCCTGGGAGTCGACGATTAATTGTGTCTGTGTGTTTCTTTTCCCCCTGAATACGGTTGTCTCAACTCGCCCTGCCCTGGCCCCTGCCAGCCATGCGGGCGGGTGGCATTGGGGGGTGACCCACATGGGGGGTGAAGAAGAGGGGCCTGAAGGAGCCCTTCAGGGCCCCTGCTGGCTACGAAAGGGGCCCCCAGGGGCCCCTTGAGGGCCCTGTTCTTCGCCCCCCCCCTTACCGCCCAACCATGCGAACCGACCAACCCTGCACAGCCCCCCGCCATCCTGCGGCTCCGGGGGGCGGGGGGCTGGAAGCATCGGGGGACCTCTTGGAGCCATATCGGGCCATCTTGGACCATCCGACCGCTCGCTGCCCTCCATCGAGACTCAGGGGTTGGATAAGGAAGCGCGCTAAACCACGTCCGCCCAGAGGGCTGGTTGGAATCTCGCTCCCCCCGAACGTAGCAGCTGGACGGGGTGGCCAAACTGACCAACCCTGCACAGCCCCCCTCGGGGATCTACTGCTCCGGGTCAATCCAGACAGGCTTCGCAGGATCCTGCAAGATCCTGCAGGACTCTGCAGGCTCTGCACGCAGGGGTTAGTGCACCCCTGGCCCTGCAGGATCCCGAACCACCCGGCGCTCTGCCCCCCATTAGCAGCAGGAGAGCCCATACTCGAATCGAGAAGTCGGCGATCGAAATGAGTCGGATCGGCGGAAACCAGCAGCCGATTCGGGAAAAGTCGAATCGACGGAAATCGGCAGGATAGTATGCCTCAATTGAGAAATCGGAGCCCAAACTGGAATCCGTAGTCGCATCGAATCGGGGAAAACACCTAGAGTAGACTGGGATCCGACAGTTCCAAAATACGTACTTTTAATAACCGACGGGGAAGGATAAATCGAGATCCTCTGAGATCTGGCGGATCTGGAGGATGTCTCGGGGGCCACGGCCTTCTCGAAGCGTTCCAGAGCGTTCTGAGAGCGTTCTGGAATGTTCTGAACGGATCTTTCCTCGTCCCAGCCCCGTCCGATGGGCGGAGTGGAAGGCTCGAGTGGGGAAACCAAAGCCGATCCCGCTACAATGCGACCGCATCCTCAGGATGCGCTGTGAGAATGAAAGGCCCTTGGCCGCCTACATTGCAGCCGAAGGTGGGAGCCCATAGCCCATGGCTACGGGCCATGGGCCGGGATGGTCCGAGAGGCAACGATGCAAGCGTGATCACCGTTGGACAACTGCTCATCCTTATGATGCGGTTTGACTGTACTCCCTAGACCTCTCACGCGTTGCGTTCTGACCAGAATTTCAAGGCTAGTACAGCGGTGGCGACGAGGGCCTCCTGGGAGGCTCAAAAAAGCGAAGACGAGGCAAGGGAAGCGGTGTCGGTACGGTTCCCCCCTGATCGAAGATCTACATCATGATGCATCGTCAAGGGACCTCGTCTGTCCCATCGCTCCGCGCCGAACATGCGTCGGACAGACGGTGGACACCAGGAAAGGACCGCCATCTGCAGGACAGACGAGGCCCCCCACACATTCTCTAGCACTAACTTGCGGCGAGCGAAGGGGGGAAATGAGAAGGAGAAGGCGAGAAGGCCTTCTCAGAAGGCTCGGAAGTCCCCCGGCCTTCTGAGAAGTTTTCGAAGCCTTCCTCAAAGACACAGAGAACCCGCGAGGGCTTCTGAGAAATCCCGCCGACTTCTGAGAAGGCCTTCTCCTTCTCACTTTGCCCCCTCGCTCGCCGCCGGGTCAAAGAAGCGGGTCCTGTTGGACATGGGGTCCTGGACCTTGTTCCTCGTTCCCGGGCCCCCGGGCGTTTCACGGGCCCCAAGACCGTCGAAACAGCTATTCGGGACGAAGAGCTGGTCCTGGGGAGAGTGAAGCAAGGATGGAGAGAGGAAGAAACGGAGAAGAAGGAAAAGGATGAGGATGAGGATGAGGATGAGGATGATGATGATGATGATGATGATGAGGAGGAGAAGGAGGAGGAGGAGGAGGAGGAGGAGGAGGAGGAGGAGGAGGAGGAGGAGGAGGAGGAGGAGAGGGAGGAGGTTGAGGAGGGGGAGGACGAGGAGGAGGAGGAGGAGGAGGAGGAGGACGAGGAGGAGGAGCAGAATGAGGAGGAGGAGGAGGAGGAGTAGAGGAGGAGGAGGAGGAGGAGGAGGAGGAGGAGGAGGAGGAGCAGGAGGAGGAGCAGGAGGAGGAGGGGGAGCCCGTCCGGCTACCAAGCCGCCCTCCGCACGGGAAAACGGGCCGCCGGCCTGACCGCCGAGCGGGCCCCCAAAAAAAGTCGTGCTCGGAGGCCGGGCGAGCCGGCAGAGCGAGGAGGCCGCCGACTGCCCCGCACGCCCTGCCGCGTTCGGCCAGGGACCCCCCCCGCTGCTGTGCCTCGGCTCTCTTCGGCGGCCCCTGGCGGTCCTCCGGGTGGAGGCCGGACGGCTGCGCCGGCACCAAAGGGGGTGCCCGCTTGGCACGGGGGAAGCGGGCCCTGGAAACCTGGGGCCTTCTGCCGGGACGGGCCCTTCATCCCGAGACGTTCTTGCTGACGGCCCCCCTTGGGCCCGTGGAAAGCCCGTGGAGGGCCCGAAAGCGGAGGAACAGCTCCAGACCCGTTTCCCTCAGGACCCGGTTTCCCCACAGCGAGCCCGTGGGCGAGGCAGAAACTTGTCCGCAACCGCCGATCGGTGGATCGATATGCGGGGACATCGGCAGGCGGTGGATTGGAGTCTCTATATTTATATATATATATATATATATAGACATGTAAATGCGCATATTCATATGAACACAACACGTGGATACAACCATTCAGGCGTACATACATACACATATACACACATGTACACATACACACACCTACATACATACATTCATACATACATTCAAACATACATGCACACATACATACATACATAAACACATACATACAAACAGACACGCATACATTCACACACGCATGCATACTTACATGCATGCGCGAGTGCGTGCACACAATCATACGTTCACACATACGCATACGTACACACTCAGTCATACATAAATGCATGCGTGTCTGCATACATACGTACACGCATACATGCATGCATGCATGCGTACATGAACGCATACACACATACACACATGCATACATGCATACATGCTTGCACACATACATACAGACACTCATTCATACATCCATACACACATAACACCATACATATATACATCCATACACGCACACGTATGACCATATACACGCATACATGCACATACACACATACACACGTAGACACATACATGCACACATAAACGTATACATACATACGCATGCATACATACATACATACATACATGCACGCATGCATGCATCCATGCATGCACACACACATACACACATACAGCTTTGCATACATGCATACATACATATTCATATACACACCTACTTGCGCACATACACCTATATCTATATACACAGTTACATATGATACACGCCACCCCTGTGATCTACATATGGTTGGTTTGGCCATGCATTGTGTTCCTTTCGCTGCATTTCTCTCTCTCTCTCTCCCCCCCTTACGCTGTACATTATCGTATGACTGTCTTGTTGTACACTTCCATGCACCTTGGCCCACGGCTACCGAACCGCTAGCTGGCCTGTCGGTTCCGAACCGATACCGAAACGCTACAGTTGCCTGGGGGTTCTGACTTGCATGTTTTCCTTTATGTTTTGAGGGAATGTCCTGTTTTGTTGGCTGGCTGCCCCCCGCACCCCCCTGGGGGTGAGGTGGAGACTGCGCTGGGCGGGAGAAGACACCAACAACCAACGAAAACAGGAACATCACGCAACACACACATACGAACAAGACCATCGTAGCCCCCACGCAACACATTCAACAACATCAAAGCCCAGACTGGTTGTCGGACGGGAGACATTGAAACCCATTACGGTGTCTTTATTTTCTGCAAAAACCCGTCGGGGCTTAGATGCCGTTGATGTTTGTTGTCCCTTGTACTCTGACTGAGTTTCTTGCTTTTGCTGGTGTTCTGTCACCCCGCGCCCCCCTGGGGATGCGGTGGGGGCGGCTCTGGGCGGGGGAGGGCACAGACCACCAACAAAACAATACAATCAATCAACCAACAAAGAAAAGTCTGAACACCAGAGCCCCAAAGCAAGAACAACAAACAACTGAATCATGAACCCGACTGGTTTCTGACGGGAAGCATTGAACAACCTTACTGTGTCTGTGGTTGTTCTGCCAAAAGCCTGTCAGGGCTTAGGTTGCGCTGTCCTTTTGTGCCTGGTGACTCTGATTATCCTGGTGTTCCTTGTGGTTTGGAAGGTTGTCCTGTTTTCGTTGGTTTATGCTCCACGCCCAGCTGAGGCATTTCCCCAAGGGTGGGTGCGTGGAGGCGCAGATCACAAAACGGGTCAACGTGTGACTCGCCACAACGGGAATTTCATGTGTAAACTGTCACAACAATTTTATGTGTAATCCGCAACATAAAGAATCCTTGTGTAACCCGCCGCAGAAAAAAAACAACCGGCTATTCGCCACAAATGGGAATACATCTGTAACCGGCCATAAAACCAACCAAAAAACACCGCCACAAAAAGGAATCAGTTTGTAATCCGCGATATACCGAATCAATCTCACAAGGAATACATTTGAACGCCACCGCGAAAAGAATCACTTCGTGACCCGCCACAACAATAATAAACTTGTAACACGCTGCCATAACAAGTTTCAAGGTTTCCCGTCCGACAACCAATCGGGGCCTTGATTTTGTAGTTGTTTTTGGAATGGAGGCTCTGATTGCCGTGCTGTTCCTTGTGTTTTGACTGATTGTCATGTATTGGTTGGGTTTCGGTCCCCCTCTCCCGCCCAGCGACGCCTCCACCTCACTCCCAGGGGAGCGTGGGGTGGCAGAACAACAACAAAAACAGCACTCTCAATCAACACACAAGAAAAACAGGAACATCAGAGCCCTCAGCGCCGCCGCCACCTCACTCGCAGGGGGGCGCGGGGGGCCAAAACACCAACACAAGCACAAAGTCAGTCGAGACATGAGGAACAGCAAGAGAGTCAGGACCCCGAGACAAATGGAGCGTTTCGGTACCGTTTCGGTACCCACACGCCAGGTAGCGCTCCAGTAGCCTTGGGCGAAGGTGTACGGAAGTATAAAAGTAGACAAACATACAAGCATGTACAAATCAAGGGAGACACATATATATAGAGAGAGAGAGAGAAATAGAGAAACAAGCATAGACACATAAACAATCTGACCAAAGCAACCATATGTGGATCACATCACAGGGGTGGGGCTTGGCACGTATGTATATCTATACGCATACATATATATATATACATACATACACACATGTGCACACCCTGACGTTCCAGAGTGCTAGAAGTAGCCCTCCAGACCCATAGACCTATATCTGGGCTGCCCAAAACCTCGACAAGAATCCAGCCGCCCTGGCCCCGGTGCTGGCCATATAGCCCTCCTGGAAAGGCCAGGGCCCGAACCCCTGCCGAGGCCCGAGCACCTCCCCGCCCTCCGCCTGCGGAGGCCCCCGAGCGTCGCTCCCCCCGTGGATGGCTCTGGGAAGGTCTCCCCAGAGGAGGAGGAGGAGGAGGAGCAGGAGGAGGAGGAGGAGGAGGGAGGAGGAGGAGGACGAAGAGGAGGAGGAGGAGGAGGAGGAGGAGGAGGAGGAGGAGGAGGAGGAGGAGCAGGGGGGGGGGCCACGGATCGAACACCAACCCTCGCGGCTCGGGCGTCGTTGGCAGGACCACACTGGGCGCTTCCCTGCCCGTTTCTCGGGCCGCGGGAACCTCGGGGATCGACCTCCGGCTGCGAGGCATGACGCACACGGGTGGTGTCGAGAGCCCCGGTCGGGATCTGCACCGCGCCTTCCTCGTCTTCACGAGGATCTCGGGGACAATCTCGACACTGTCCCGGCCAGTCCTGGACGAACGAACATCGGGCATCGGCCGACCGACGCTCGAGGCTCGGTGGCCGAATCGGATGATCGGCATCGGATATTCGATGCTCTGGTGACCCGTTCTCGTGATCCCAGGATCTGCGGATGCGCCCATTTGGCCCGACCAAGACGGCGCAGGCCACGATCCTGAGCTCCGGGGGTGGTCTGCCCGCGGAACGGTGCAGGTGGACGGACAGTCGGCTTCCCCCAGACGGAGGCTTCCTCGCATGCAGCCCCGCAGCTCCACGCGCATGCCGTTGAATCAAACGACGATCTGCTGCGAGTTGCACTCCTTGCAGCGGACCTCCGGCGCCTCCGCCCAGCGAGCCTGCCAGTCGTCCTTGTAGTACGCCACAAACTCTGCGATGCTGTATGTCTTCCCGTCCGCTGCGATGCGCTGCTGCGTGGCCGAGGCTGCCGCATCCCACTTCTGCTCCCAGCTGGAGCTGTAGAACGTGCGGAACTGGCTGGCGGTGTAGGCCTTGCCGTCGTTGGCCACGCGCTTCTCCACGGGCGCTGTGCGCCACTCATCGAGGTACGTTGCCCCATAATACTTCTCGAAGTCGACAGCGCTGTATGCCACACCGTTCTTGGCGTATCGCTTAGCCTCCCCGTTGAGGTTTGCACGCACGCAGGACTTCGACGCCGACGTCCAGTCCTTCGAGGCGGCATACGAGTTCTTGAGGGCAGTTGCGTCGCATCCATCCTGTGCCAGGATCAAGGTCCACTTTTGAGCATCTGCCTTGGAGACGAGTTGTTTCAGGACGGTGTAGAGGTCCTTGATCTGTGATTCCTCAGCAAACTGCTTCACCAGAGCAAGGGTGTTCTCCTTGGCAACGGACCGAGATACATCCAGTGAGCTTGTGCTGTAGAGGAGTTGGTACATCGACTTCAACTCATCTGGGCTTACATGCTGCTCGGCCAACAGCAGCAACTTGTTCTGAAGCTCCGGCTTGCTGAAATCCAGTGTCGAGGGGCTGTATAGGACCGTCCGGAGCGCTTTAAGGTCGGAGATCGTGACGTCGCACTGGGTCAGGATGCTCGCCTCCTTCCACGCTAAGTTGTGGGCATCAGTCCTTGGCACGCCCAACAGGGGCACGAACAAAATGGGTACGATGCCCAAGTCCCGTACCGACAGCGGCACCCACGACCTCCGACGACGCGGCAATTTTCGGCACGGGGTGCCCAGAACTCCTGCCTCTCCTGGGGTCGGCTCTCATCCTGAAGCGTCTTAGTCCTCGGCTCCAAACGCCCCAATTCTTTCTGCACCTTCGTTGAGCAGGGACCGACCGTCCCGGCATTCCTGTAGTCCTAACACGAAATGTTCGTAGAACCCACACATGTTCTAAGAACAATAACAATGTTCTTAGAACCTTAACCCGATGTGATAAAACAAGACAGACTCTGCCAGAAATGTTCTAAGAACATTTCGTGGAGTTCTTAGATCGTTGCTTGGTGCCGGCTACAGGCGAGCCAGGACGCTTCGCCACTGCTTGGCTTCGCTCGCACCCTCGCACGCAGGTGATCACGCCAAGCTCATGGGCCGACTCTGGGGCCACCAGCGGCGTTCGACCTGGAACGCCCGCGGCAAGGGTCGCCGCCGCGTCGGCAGATACACACCCCTTCCGTCACGACTCCAGAGCAGGGACGCCGACCCTCCCAGCAAGTCCTACAGGTCTACCACGACATATTCTTCGACCCAAACATGTTCGAAAAAACAAAACGATGTTCTTGGAAAATGAGCCCGCTGTGCTAAATGAAACCAATCTCGACCAGCCGCGTTCTAAGACCATTTCCTGCAGACCACAAAAGGTTCTTAAACAATTATTTGGTGGGCCTCTAGGCAGGTGAGCATTTTCTGATTCGGCGTTTTTCGGCATTGGGCGAAAGGGGAGGGAGGGGGGGGTCTGGCTCCAGACCTCTGCTTAGTGCGACTGTTTGCAACAGTGAGTCCATTGTGGGGGAGACTCCACCTGCTCGAAACAGGCGCCAAAAACCGCCGAGACATACTCCACGGGGAAAAGGAGGGGGGGTGCGCGGGCCCGCGCCGATCGGCAAAACAATGAATGAGAAAACGATCACAAGTCAGGACGCTTCGCCACTGCTTGACTTTCCGATCGTGCCCCAAGGTCCGGCTCATGTCCAGACCCGAGGGCGAGTAGAGGTAGGACTCCAGCTCATCTGGCGTCACGGCCCCGGCGAGCGCGAGGAGCGGCACAAAAGCGAGCGCGCGCACCATGGCTCCTGGCTTCCGGCGGGCAAGGTCAGGAGGAGCACCTCTGGTCGAAACGTCTCGAGCCGGAGTTGCCGCAGAGGGCGACGGTGAGGGGGCCCTCCGTTCCTGCGCCCGTCCTCCCTCGACCCACTCTTGCGCCCTACCCCCGCAGGGCCTGGAAAGAGGGAAGGCCGAGGCGAGGGGGGAAAACAAGGAGGAGGAAGGGGAGGATACGGACCATGTAGTAGCTGGAACCGATCGTAACCCCCACGACGGGCCCTCAGGACACAGCTTACCTTCCACCATCTCTGGTTCAAGACGCATGCTCACGCAATCGCAGATGCGTCGTGGTGCGCTTGCGAAGGTCCGCCTCCGTGCACCCCCTGGCACGTTGAGGCGTGGCAGACCGCCAGGGGTGGTCTGGTCGGTTTCTGCAATTTTCTAAGGGACGACACCCCACAGGGCCGCGCTCGCACGCATGCATCCTCCCCAACATGCATCCTTTGGACACCCGAAATGGGTACGGAAAGAATGGGCATAATGCCCAGCAGCAAATGTTGTCCCGAACCAACAGCGGCCGCTGTTGGGCGGGCGGCCTTCTGTCTCGAATGGCCACAGGCCGGGGCGGCGCGGACAGCGAGTCCTGTTCAAAATGAACAGGAACCGCTGTTGGGCATCGCACCCATTCTTTCCGTACCCATCTCGGGCGTCCAGCATCCTACCAAAATGGCGAAAAGGTCCATGCTCCTGAGGCCCGGATCCCCGATACGAGCAAGATGCGTCCGCACTCCCGAGCTTCCAACACGGCGGAAGCAGGCCACCCAGGCCGCCAAGATGGCCCCAAATGCCCCCAAGACGTCTCGAGATGGCCCGGACAAAGACCTATGAAGGCTGCATCGTAGCCCAAAACCATCCCCCAGACAATCCCAAAGGACCGCCGCCTCAACATCATCACTCTCATCATGCTGTCCCACATCGCACCCGTCCACTGCGATGATCGTCCCACTCTTGCTCCTCCTTCCCCTCCTTCCCCTCCTCCCCCGCCACCCCCTATCCTCATGATCTGTTCCGACATCCTGTTACTCCGCACCAGGAAGACCCCAGATAATCAAGATAAACTCAAGACGGACGAATTGTGACGAGCGACAATGTTCTGACGGTGACCCCAGCAGTAAATGTAAGCTGTACTTTAACGACTGTCAACTAAACTGTTACATCTTCCTGTCGCTCCTTGAACAATGCCCTCCGAGAAAACTGGGCTGGCACGGTCCTGGTGGCTTAGACTGGCCGCGACCAGCTTGCAGCTTGATGAAATGGTGGAGCAAATCTGCGCACAAGCCCGTGCAAGACTAGAAGGTCACGCGCGCATCTGGGCACTTCATAGCGCGCGTGGACTGCTTGGTATTACTTTTATGTCGGGCGTGCCCCCTTACAGGGGGATTTTCGACGAAAAATAAAAAATACCCCAAACTACCCCAAGAAGGTCAAAACATACCAACAAAATAGTAAAATAGTCCCCAGACTATGTTTGGATTATTGTTTGACTATGTGTGGGGTATGTTTTATTTTCAGTCGAAAATCCCCCTGTAGGGGGACGGGCCCGATATAAGATTACTTGGGAAGGATGGTGCACGTTCAGCGCGCTCCTGGCCCGTGTGTGTGTGGTATACTTTGGTAGAACTGCTGACCCATGCATGCGCAAGATCAGCGCACGCGCACCACCCTGTTCTTACGATCGACGGTGCCAGGGGCGCCAGTCGTCCAAGACATCCTCATACCAAGTCGTGGAATTCTGTGATTCTTTGAATGGTCGGACTTCCTGGCTTGATCCTGGAATGAATGGAACCAAACGTTCTGGCACAATGTCTGGGGGCTGGCAGCACCCGGACATCCCACAATTCGAAGTGGGAAATCAAATGCTATGAGATAGTTACTGCTCTGCGCTCTTTGAACTTCATTGTCGGGAGCATCAAACTTGAAAACAAGAGATCCGCAAATTCTAATGATTCACGAATGGACTTCCTGGGACCACTCAAACTCGCACTGTTGGAGCTCATTGAGATCTTGGATGCGCGTCCCGCTGTTGAAGCCTCGGGGCTGGGCGGTGCATGTGACACATCATTAGAAAAGGCCCGGGCATAATCTGGCGACCCAGTAGGGTCTGGTGGGGCTTGAGGTCAAGGGGGGTAATGCTGTGAACGCTGTTGAGGGAGAAGTCGCCATAACCTCTGGGCGGGCTCCAGATTATCGCACCAGGCGCGTGCGTGATGGGAGACACGAGGCACTGTTTTTTTGGGTGTGGCACGTGTGATGAGCGATGGCAATGGCATCAGCGGCCTTGACACAGGTTCTCTCGAAACATCTGTAGGAAGGCGGATGAGGATGAGGAGTTGGAGGAGGAGAAGAAACAACTGCATTCAGATACATGTTCAGAGGTCCGAACGGAATTCTTGGACGAGGAGGGGGGAGGAGGAGGAGGAGGAAGACCCCCCCTCTTAAAAAGAGGATGAAGAGAAGAGGCAGACAAGCTAAGTGCGCTCGCGTCATATCTGACGTCCTATCCCTAGCCTCCCATCCCTTACCATGGCGTAGAGCCCCTCTCTACTCGCCCAATCGGATGTCGAAAAGGACCACGATCCCCAAAGGGGAGAGCACGCGATGCACAGCACGGCGTGGCATTGTGCAGTCCAACATTGCGTCTGTACTTGCACTGCAGCGCAAGCCATGGCATCGCATGGCGGCACACAACATAGCACTGCACGCCAGAGGACACGGCAAGAAGCTGGCGAACAACCACCTCGGCTCTTGCCCCAGCCGCTGGGAGGCCGGCCCTCGGGGGTCAGACACTGCCACGCCCCCGCCTCCCCGACCTCTCACCCGCCGGGGAGACGCGAGGCTCGGGTTTGGCGGACTCGGGTTGGCTCGACGGGGCCGTCAGAAGGATCACGAGATCCAGTCTGCAATGCGACGCGAGCTCCCGATTGCAAACATCCCACGGGCAGGAGGAGAAGGAGGAGGAGGAGGAAGAGGAGGAGGAGGAGGGAGGAGGGAGGAGGGAGGAGAGAGGAGAGAAGAGAGAGGAGAGAGGAGGGAGGAGGAGGAGGAGGAGGAGGAGGAGGAGGAGGAGGAGGAGGAGGAGGAGGAGGAGGGGGAGGAAGAGGAGGAGGAGGAGGAGGAGGAGGAGGAGGGAGGAGGAGGGAGGCAGGAGGAGGAGGAGGAGGAGGAGGAGGAGGAGGACAGGTCCGTCAAAAAGCACCGGCATACCCGAGTTCCCGAGTTCTGGCGAGCTCGAGTCTGGCCTGGCCGGCATCTCGGGGCGCAGCCCCGCCGGGGCGACGATGGCGCCCCACATGGGGGCTCCAGCGTGGCGAACGACGCCAAATTTAAGTCAGGCCTGCCCCCCCCCCCCCTCCAGGGGGATCTTCGCCGAAAAATGAAAAAAAACAAAAAACAAAAAAAACTCAAAAACTAGTCAACAAATAATATAGAAAAAGACCGGGAACTATGTTCTGATGATTTGTTACCTTTTTGGGTCATTTGGGGGGTATTTCCCAACCATCCTGTGGTGTTGGGTCCTCGTTTTGAAGAGACAGCGCCCCGCGTTCACTCCTCCTCCCGCTGCCCCCTCCCTCCTGCCATCATCATCATCATCATCATCATCATCATCATCATCATCATCATCATCATCATCATCATCATCATCATCATCACCATCATCATCACCATCACCATCACCATCACCATCATCATCATCATCATCATCATCATCATCATCATCCTCATCTCATCATCATCATCATCATCATCATCATCATCATCATCATCATCATCATCATCATCATCGTCATCGTCATCGTCATCGTCATTATCACCATCATCATCGTCATCATCATCATGGGGCCACGAAACGTGTGCAACCGTTTCGGTATCACCATCATCATCATCATCATCGACATCATCGACGTCATCATCACCACCATCATCATCATCATCGCCATCATCACCCGTCACACGTTTCGCGGCCCCATAAGGATCTCCACCGAAGGCCCCAGTGGCTGCGCTCCCATGCGCCCACCGCACCCATTCCGGCACACCCCTCACACGTTTCGTGGCCCCATGGGGAGCTCCAGCGAAGGCCCCAGTGGCTGCGCTCCCATGCGCCCACCGCACCCATTTCGGCACACCCCTCATACGATTCGTGGCCCCATAGGGAGCTCCAGCGAAGGCCCCAGTGGCTGCGCTCCCATGCGCCCGCCGCACAGATTTCGGCACACCCCTCACACGCTTCGTGGCCCCATAGGGAGCTCCAGCGAAGGCCCCAGTGGCTGCGCTCCCATGCGCCCACCGCACCCATTTCTGCACACCCCTCACACGTTTCGTGGCCCCATAGGGAGCTCCAGCGAAGGCCCCAGTGGCTGCGCCCCCATGCGCCCACCGCACCCATTTCGGCACACCCATCACACGCTTCGTGGCCCCATGGGGGGCTCCAGCGAAGGCCCCAGTGGCTGCGCTCCCATGCGCCCACCGCACCCATTTCGGCACACCCCTCACACGTTTCGTGGCCCCATAGGGAGCTCCAGCGAAGGCCCCAGTGCCCGCGCTCCCATGCGCCCACCGCACAGATTTCGGCACACCCCTCATACGTTTCGTGGCTCCATAGGGAGCTCCGCCGAAGGTCCCAGTGCCCGCGCCCGCATGCGTCAGCCACACCCATTTCGGCACAACCCTCACACGCTTCGTGGCTCCATAGGGAGCTTCACCGAAGGCCCCAGTGCCCGCGCCCGCATGCGCCCCGCACACCCATTTCGGCACGCCCCCCACGCGTTCCGTGGCCCCATAGGGAGCTCCGCCGAAGGTCCCAGTGGGTGTGCCCGCATGCGTCCCGCACACCCGTTTCGGCACACCCCTCGCACGTTTCGTGGCCCCATAGAGAGCTCCACCGAAGGCCCCAGTGGGTGTGCCCGCATGCGTCCTGCACACCCATTTCGGCACACCCCTCGTACGTTTCGTGGCCCCGTAGGGGGCTCCACCGAGAAGATATTCACAATTGCAGTATTCCCAATTGCACATGGCTGGGTCCTTCGCCAGGATATTTTTTTATGTTTCGTCAAAAATTCCCCTGTATGGGGGACACGCCCGACATAACGCTAGATGACTCCTTGCCGTCGCTCGGACGTCCATTTCCCGTGCATTGTTCGGTTTCGCGCGTGTGCTTTTCCCAACCATCCTGTGGTGTTGGGTCCTCGTTTTGAAGAGACAGCGCCACGCGTTCCTTCCTCCTCCCGCTGCCCCCTCCCTCCTCCCTCCTCCCCCTCCTTGCCTCTGCTCTCGGCACACCTCTCACACGTTTCGTAGCCCCATAGGGAGCTCCACCGAAAGCCCCAATGGGGATGATCGCATGCGGTTCCCCAACCCAGGGCAGCGTTTCGTGTCCCCATAGGGAGCTCCGCCGATGGCCCCAGTGGGGGGGGGGGGTCGCATGCGGTTCCCCCACCCAGGGCAGCGCTTCGTGGCCTCACAAGGGGCTCCGCCGATGGCCCCAGTGGGGGGGTCGCATGCGGTTCCCCCACCCAGGGCAGCGTTTCGTGGCCCCATAGGGAGCTCCGCCGATGGCCCCAGTGGGGGGGGTCGCATGGGGAGCCCCGCCGAAGGCCTCAGTGGGGGGGGGGGGTCGCATGCGGTTCCCCAAACCCAGGGCAGCGTTTCGTGGCCTCACAGGGAGCTCCGCCGATGGCCCCAGTGGGGGGGGTCGCGTGCGGTTCCCCCACCCAGGGCAGCGTTTCGTGTCCCCATGGGGAGCTCCGCCGATGGCTCCAGTGGGGGTGCCCGCATGCGGTTCCCCACCCAGGGCAGCGTTTCGTGGCCTCACAGGGAGCTCCGCCGATGGCCCCAGTGGGGGAGGGTCGCATGCGGTTCCCCCACCCAGGGCAGCGCTTCGTGGCCCCATAGGGAGCTCCGCCGATGGCCCCAGTGGGAGGTCGCATGCGGTTCCCCCACCCATGCACCCATGGCAGCGCGTTCATTCGCCCCATAGGGAGCTCCGCCGATGGCCCCAATGGGGTGGTCGCATGCGGTTCCCCAAACCCAGGGCAGCGTTTCGTGGCCCCATGGGGAGCTCCACCGAAGGCCCCAGTGGGGGGGGGGGTCGCATGCGGTTCCCCCACCCAGGGCAGCGCCTCGTGGCCCCATAGGGAGCTCCGCCGATGGCCCCAGTGGCTGCTCTCGCATGCGGTTCCCCAAACCCAGGGCAGCGCTTCGTGGCCCCATAGGGAGCTCCACCGTGGGCCCCAGTGGGTGGGGGTGCCCGCATGCTCTCCCCCACCCAGGGCAACGTTTCGGGGCCCCATGGGGAGCTCCACCGTAGGCCCCAGTGGGGGTGCCCGCATGCGGTTCCCCCACCCAGGGCAGCGTTCCGTGGCCCAATAGGGAGCTCCACCGAAGGCCCCAGTGGGGGTGCCCGCATGCGGTCCCCCACCCAAGGCAGCGCTTCGAGGCCCCATGGGGAGCTCCACCGACGGCCCCAGTGGGGGTGTTCGCATGCGGTTCCCGCACCCAGGGTAGCGTTTCGTGGCCCTATAGGGAACCCCACCGAATGCGTTGCTCACAAAGACGGTACTCAAAACTGCATATGGTTGGTTCCTTGGCCAGGCTAATTTTTTGTTGCTCGATGGTCCAGGATGGTCCTCCATGGTTCTCGCCGAGAAAACCATGCACACGTCCGAGCGATGCCAGGACTCCGCCCTGGAAGCTCGATCCCCGAAGTTCCCCCGCTCGGCCAGAATGCCAACCGCCCCGAACGCCGAACCTGTGGGCCTTAGGTCGCCCCCTCCGCGCAGCAGTAGACCGCCCCGAGGATCTCTCGAGCTCACGGGGAGCAAACCTGCTCTTCGGCCTGGCCCTCGCTAGGGCCCTGCGGGCCGCATGATTCGAGCCTCAGGGTCCACGAAACGCGGCCGAGCGCGCATGCGGCGATCATGAGTCGAAGCCAGGGCCAGGACATGATCGGTCTGGGACAAAGAGGGGATCTCTGACACATGGTGGTTTTGGAGGATGTATCGGGCGCCGCGGCCATTGCAGAGCGCTCTGGAACGCTCCCAGAGCGTTCCAGGACTCTATATGGAGCGATTCGTCCTGGTTGTGGGCCCGCCCAGTATCATGCGGCATACAGTCCAATCCTTAGCTGGTGGACGGGTCTCTTTGACCGCCCAGGAAAGAGTAGGAGGAGGAGGAGGAGGAGGAGGAGGAGGAGGAAGAGGAGGAGGAGGAGGAGGAGGAGGAGGGGGAGGAAGAGGAGGGAGGAGGAGGGAGGAGGGAGGAGGAGGGGGACGGAGGACGGAAGAGGACGGAGGGGGAGGAGGAGGAGGAGGAGGAGGAGGAGGAGAGGAGGAGGAGGAGGAGGAGGAGGAGGCGGAGGAGGCGGAGGAGGAGGAGGAGGAGGCAGCGCCGCGCGCGCTCGAACCTGGCGCCACACTGGAGCGCTCTCGCCGACCGGCGCGGAGACGGCGACGGCACTGGCGGCGACGAGGGCGAAGCGCGGCTAAGCGCGCAGCAGCGCGACGTAGGACGTCGGGCGAAGAGACGCGCGCGGCCTGCAACAGATCACGACGACGACACACCCACACACACACACACACCTACATCAATATGTGTATTCGTATAGACAACTATTTACACATGATGCACAGAGAATGTAGACACAGGAGTGAGCGAGACAGGGAGAGAGAAGAGAGAGAGAGAGAGAGAGACAAAACAAGAAGGAGATCTGGAAGGACAAATATGATAAAAAAACGATACCGCTACTCCACGGACCTCTCCCGGGGTGCACTCCTGCCAAAATATCGAAGAGAATCCAACCATGGCGACGAGAACCTCCCAAGAGGCTCCACGAGGCCAGAACGAAAGAACGGGAACGATGCTGGCACGCACCTTCCGGAAAGGTACCTACCGTTAGGGGGGGGGGAATCCCCCCCCCCATCACGGAAGGGAACAAGAGAGAGAGAGAGAGAGAACAAAAAAAAGGGAGGGAACAACCACCAACTGCACACGACGACGACGGCGGCCGAGAGAGAGAGAGAGAGAGAGAGAGTGCCAGCCACCCAGCAAACACACGACGCAGAACGGCGGCCACGGCGGCGAGCGCGACGGCGGCGGCGGCGGCGCCGCGAACGAGCAGGAACGCTCGGGCGCCGGGGCGCGTCCTCGTCGATCTGCGCGAGGCGGGCGCAGTCGCGCCCTCGGTCCGCGGGCTCGGCCTGGCGCGGCCGGCGCGGCGCGGCATCGGAGGGAGCCGGCGCGCGGTGGCGGCAGGCGCCCGACCACAGGGAACCTCCCACGAGAAACCCAGCCTGAGGTCGGGCACGTCCCCCTACAGGCAGATTGGTAGAACATCAAACATAGTCAGCACATACTCTGACATAGTTTATTATATATATGTATACATATATATATATATATGTTTAACAAAAAATGGAACAATCGTCCCCCGACTATTTGTGTTGGACTATTTTTGAACACTCCTCCTGTAGAGGGACACGCCCGACTGAAACCCAACCCTGAGACCCCAGGGCGTCCCTTGATTTCTGGTGTGGGAACGGCGCGCTCTCCACAACAACTATGAGATAGATGATGACCTAGTCTTGAACCCGTGAGCGCACTATTTCATTCTCATAATCTGCCTTCTTCCTTCACTACTACGACGCATCCCAGGAAACCTGGGGCACCCTGGAGGCAAGCAGGGTGTAGCTTGGCATGGGTCTCCACTGTGCACCACAACATGTCTGGCCGACCGCTGTGCCCAGGAATGTTCGGCGAGGGAACTCTCGGCGGCGAGCCCGGAGGGGCGGGGGGAAATGCAGAGGTCAGTCAGTCAGTCAAGCCAGGCGCCAGGCAACGGCGCGTCGGCGCATCGGCAGGGAACCGAAGTGAGCACGATGGGCTCACGGATTCCAGAACAACGGATTGGCAAGACAAGGCGGGCCTTCTCAGAAGGCTAGGGAGTCCCCGGGCCTTCTGAAAAGTCTCCTGGGTCTTCCCCGAAGACACAGAAGAAACCTCTCAGAAGCCGCGAGGGCTTCGGAGAAGTCCCGCCGCCTTCTGAAAAGGCCTTCTTCATCTCGCTCCCCCCCTCGCTCTGAGATGTTGTTAAAAACGCTGGGGGCGTTTTCAGGATCAACATTGTTTGTTTTGGGACCTGCTGTTTCTCCGTTTTGGGATTGCCGTCTCGCCGCTTCGGTCCGTTTTCGGTTCGTTGAAAACAATAAGGAAACGGATCGCAACTTGTGATCCGTTTTCTTACTGCTTTGAATTGTTGTTTTTTCTCTGTTTCCCGTTTCTGACAAGTGTGTTCTGTCTTGGGTTGTGTTTTTCATATTTTGGGTTGCCGTTTTTCGCTCGTTTTGGGCCTGGCTGGTGTCGCTATTATTTGTGTTTTGGGTTGCCGTGGTTTTTCAATGTTTTGGTCGACTGCAACGTGACAAGTTGAAAACGGAACAAAAGACACCACCAACGTTTCTTAAGAACAACTCAGCCCTCGCTCGCCGCCGAGGATTCGGCGTACGGCAAGTTCGTGTCGTCACGATCCCAGCGTTGGCTTCTGACACCGCGTGGATCGGCGGCTTTTCGATCGTCCGATCGTTCCATGTAGGCCGATTCTGAACCACTGGCGGCGTTCAACCTTGAACGCCCGCGGCTGGGTCGCGACCGGTCGACACGACGCGAACCTGCTGTACAGACGCTCCAGCATCCCACAGGTTGGGAAGCTGGGGCGTCTATATACACCGAGAGCTCCCTGGCCGACCAGGCGACCTGGTGTATACGCCGAGCCACTCCCCCGACAGTGGAGGCCAGTCCACAAGAAAGCTTTTAAGAAACCTTTGCCACAAGAAAGCCAACCCTGAGACCCCAGGACGTCCGTTGATTTTTGGTGTGGGAGCGTCACGCTCTCCATAATTAGCAACACCATCGAAGCCCAAGAAACCCAGGGCACCCTCCAGGCAAGCAGGATGTTTCTTGGCATGGGTCTTCACTGTATTTCAGGGCTTTCCAGCCCCGCCCGCCCCGAGCCATGCCTGCCATCCCCACCAAAGGGTTTCTGACATCCTGGCGATGCGACAAGATGACGAATCAGCAACTGTTGGAGGATTTCCGGCCTGTGGGGGCCATATCCGGAACCCAGAGCCGTGAAAGACAGTTAAAATCGAAACGCCGCTCCTGGGGAGGAGGTCCAGACATCTGGGGGTCCGTGTTGCGAGAAATCACGACGTCGGATGTCGAAGGAGGGAGGGGGGCGAACGCCTCGTCTCTTACGAGGGGTCCTCTGGACTGTTTTTGGCAACCTTTTTTCCCGCCCAGGCCCTTCGTGGCCGTCTGCTACAATGGGCGTTTCCTTTTGACTTCTGCTCCGTCGTTTTACCAGCATATCCTGGCCTGTGTGCAGTAGGCCTTGGCCCTCAAAGCTTGGAAACCATATGATGTAAACGCTGCGCCGAAAAATACGCCACGACTGGCTTCATCAGCACCCGATCGGGGTCCCACAGCCTCATGACATCCCACTGGAGCCTGCGCAGACCGCAACAAAGCCCCCCCGAATCACCGGAGAGGCCTGAGGGCTACAGTAGGAGATCGACCACAAAAAACCTTCCACAAGGAACCCAACCCTGAGATCCCAGGACGTCCATTGGTTTTTGGTGTGGGAACGTCACGCTTTCCAAAAACCGTCAAAACCCAGGACACCCTGGAGGCAAGCAGGGTGTTTCTTGGCATGGGTTTCCACTGTACCCCCTCGGTGGAGGCCACGGCCGATATCGGGCGTTGGCAGAACTGGGTTTAGTGGGACCTGGTTTAGTGATGTGTACCGGGGAACGCCCCCCCGCCCCGTTCCACTAACCGGAGCTGCCGTCACCCGAAAAACACGAGCTACGGCAGACCTGGTTCAGTGATTCTGGCCAATTAATTCAGGGGCTCCGGGGCCCTACCACTAACGGGTCCCCTTACCTGGGGGCCCTGGCCATGCCCGACGATAGCGGTCTTGATGCCAACTTCTGGCCTCCGATGCTCCCAACGCCACCCGCTCCCCTCGGGAGGAGGCACGCACAGAGGAAACCACTCTGGATGGGGTGTCGCATCCTGGCCGGACTGGGAGGCCCCACGCACTGGGTGCGCCCAAGACGTGATCCGAGGCACCCGCGCGGACAAGGAGGTGCCAGGGAGCAGATTGAACGAACAAGACGAAGAACAAGACGAAGAAGAAGAGGAAGACGACAGGAAGGGGGGGGCCTTGAACTCTGAGAGAGCTCGCTGCCCCAGCCCTGCCGGCATCCCCGCCCCCCCTGGCCCTCACCCGCCATTACTAGGATGCCCCCGATGACAAGGCCTCCGTTGCCAGGGGTCGACCCGTGCCCCCCGAGAGCTCCCGAGCCCCGACTCTGTTGAAGGAGCCCCAGGACACACAAATAAATAGACACAAATAAAACTATTCCCATATTTTCCTATATTTTCTGGGCTTCTGTCTTTCCCCCCACTTCCCATGTTTTGCCATATTTTCTGGGAAATCGACGATGAACTGTGCCTGTGTGTTTCTTTTCCTCCTGATCTGTGGGGCTTTCGAGTGGAGCAAGCACATGCTGGACCAAGCTCGGGGGCATACGAAGGGGGGGGGGGGGGGGGCACCCTCGATTTTTCTGGAGGTGGGCAAGGGGTGCGGCACAAAAGGGTGTGGTGCCAGTCGTGGAAATCGAGGTGCTGTTTAGGATAGACACCGCCAAGCTCCCCCTTTTCTGCCACACCCCGTTCCTACCCCTTTCCCACCTCCGGAGATTTGTCCTACCCCTTTCCTACCCCCTTTTATGCCACACCCTTTTATGCCACACCCCTTTCCTGCCTCCGGAAATATGGGTGCGTCGACGGGGGTGCGTGCCTCCCCGGAACATCCCACGATCGCTGTCTCGCCGCGGGGCGTGTATCGGCCGACGAAAACTGTAGGAAAAAACGCACTGTGGGAAAAAACACACTGTGGGAACACACACACACACACACACACACACACACTGTGTGTGTGTGTTTTATCCCACAGACTGTGTGTTTTTTGTTCCCACAGTGTTTTTTTTTTCCCACTTCCTACAGAAACAGCGCCTGCAACGTCGGGCGGGTGGTACCGGCGGTGGCCCGAGCGGGGGTGAAAAAACGAGCCCCAAATGGGGCCCTTTCAGGCCCCTTTTGGACCCCTGCTGGCTCCTAAAGTGGCCTTAAAGGGCCCCTCGAGGACCTCTTCCTGCCATTTGAGCCACCGCCCATTACCACCCGCCCGACAAGGCTCATGTGTCCACTTGTCTGGCAGGGCGTCCCTGGAGGCCCGGGTGTCGCCTGGCGAGCCCGTCCACCTCGACGAAGACGAGAAGGGCGGCGACGGACAGCGACGACGATTCACAACGACGGCGGACGAAAACGACGACGGGCCACCAACGCGAGGTGCAAGGGGGGTCCCCCTCTGGAGTGGTCCCCCCTCCCGCTCGAGACATCTCCGACCTCCAGCTCGGGGAGGCCTCGTGGGCCTCCTCGCCTGAAAGGCTGCAGCATTGTGCAGTATCTGTCCGACTCGAATCGGGAAATGGGATCGAATCGGACTGGGCGTCGGATCGGGCTGCATCGGCGTGGAATCAACATCGAGTCGGGTCGGCCGCGCTGAGATGTAGAGTACAGCGGCGCCGTGCAGACATCGGGCCGAATCGGACCCCTGGAGGATCTGCCAGCATCGGAGCGGACCAGGCAGGACAGAATCGCTATCGAATCGGACCGCTCGGATGGAAATGGGCACTGGTGAAGGGGCCCTGGGACACACAAATAAATAGACGCAAATAACAAGATACCCCGTACTTTCCCATATTTTCTGAGTTTTTGTCTTCCCCCCCACTTCCCATATTTCCTATATTTTCTGGGAATCCCTTCTGAATTCCGTCCTCCGAGATGACGGCGCAGGGCGAATTGAGACGACGGCACCCCACGATCGGTCCCCAGACCCCCCGGGGTCCAGACCAATCAGTTTGTAAGTTTGCCGAGCTGCGTCCAGCCATGGCGACGAGGGGCTCCGCGACGGCCAACTGCGGTTGCATCAACTCGCCCTCAGGGCCCCCTGTGAGAATGATGATGACGGCAAAAGCGACGGCGACGGCGGCGGCGAAGACGGCGTAACGTCCGAGGCCTCTCCCTGGTGCAGCAGCATTTCGCACACGTGGGGGTGGACGGGCAGGTCCAGGGTCACCTGGTGCCAGAGCGCCAGGCCTGCGGGGAAAGCAAGGAGACGAGAGACGCCCTCGGGTCGGACCAAAGGGGGAATATAACAAAGGGGGTGCGAAACAGTTTATGTAGCTGGTTTTCCCGGCGCCTCATGGCGCCGGGAGGCGCCAACGTATCGAGAACGACGCCCGGAGGCGGGGCCGAAACCCGCTGCATGCAACAGATTTCGCACCCCCACTTTCACAATCCATTCCTTTAGTCCGACCCTACACTCCCAGCGGGCTAGATTCGTCAACGATGGCGGCAACATAACAAAAACGAGCGGGGCGGGGGGCTGGACGATCGGACAGGGCCCGGAAAGCTGGGCTGGGACAGTCGCAAACCCCAATCGAAAAGCAGTGGGCCCCAGACGAACTTACCATGCCTGCGACGGCTTGGGGCCGTAATCCATCATCCACTCCTGCTCCCGAGCTGAGGGGCACCCGCCACGCTGCTGCTGGCAACCACCTATGCTCCCAAGAAACGCCCGCAGACATGCGACGTCCTGATTTTTTCAAGACGGTGCCCCCGAAGTCCCGACTCTTTCCCCAGGACCAGCTTCTCGTCCCGAGTCGTTCTGTGACGGCCCTGGGGCCCGACGTGGGCCCCCCAGGGCCGAAAATGGCGAGACACCTCCCGTCCTGATTGTTTTACGACGCGAGCATGCCTGGGCCCTCTCCCCCCTCCTCGCTCCTCCCTCCATCGCGCGCGGCCGAATCTGACTCCTTCCCTGACGAGCCCCTCCCATGACGACCCCCTTCGCCCTCACGACGCGCCCCTCTGGCCGCCCGCGCGCGAGGCAAGGCTAGGCCCCTCTGGCCGGCCTCTCCACCGCCCCCGCGCCCTTACCTGCCCAGCGACGGCGGCAGCGACGGCGGCGACAGACGACCACGGCGGTGGGTGGCGGCGAGAGCGAGGATGAAGGAGGAGCGGAGGTGCCTCGCGCGGCCGGGCAGCCCGCAGAGGAGTGATGCCGACGCACGCCCGCACCGTTCCTCCGATGCAGTCATCCAGCCTTCTAACCCCTGACCCCGAGATGGGGAGCAGGAGGAGGAGGAGGAGGAGGAGGAGGAGGAGGAGGAGGAGGAGGAGGGGGAGGAGGGGGAGGAGGGGGAGGGGGAGGGGGGGGGGAGGGGGAGGGGAGGAGGGAGGGGAGGAGGAGGAGGGAGGAGGAGGAGGAGGAGGAGGAGGAGGAGGAGGAGGAAGGGGGTGGGTCCGTAGCCTTGTCCAAGCCCCGCTGCCCCCCGCTTGGACCCCGAACGGGGTCCAAACGGAATGAGAGCCCTGTGGCCAGTCTGGCTCAGTGGCGCCGCCCTCGCGTCAGATCTCCTCGGGGCCCGCGGCGGGGCGGAAGAGACGGGCACGTCGTTAGCGGTGGCGCGCGACGGAAAATCCGGCATTTTACTAGTGCCGGGGGGGCCTCCTTCCCCCTCTCGCCTCCGTGGGCCTCCCTGGTGGCGGCGCTGGGCGAGATGACGACGCCGAGACCATGAAAGACCTCTTCACGTCTCAGTCGAAGGGCCGGTACAAGACCAAGCCGCCCCCGTTGGACGAAGAGTCTCTGACGCAGCTCGCGGAGATTCCCGCCGTGGACGTGATGGCCCTCAGGCTTGGGGCATCGCTGACAAGCTGTACGAGTCGGCTGCCATCGACGCCCTCGGCTTCACGTACTAGCTGAACCAGCTGGGCAACGCACCCAGTGGTGGAATTCGTGTGGACGGTGGGTATCTGCCCTCTCAGGTGGTCGGTGTGCTAGGGGCCTCAGGCCCTAGTAGCACACCGCCTGAGGTTAGAGGCTATATTTATTTTCAAATTTTGTATTTCCGTGGCTTGGGCTGTGGTCCAAATTCACCGCCCATAAGCCGTGGTGGTTTTGTGGTTACGGGGGCGGCAAGCTACAGTTCAGACGATTTCACGGGCTTGGGAAAGACAATTTCGGTTGCTGTGTTGTCTGGTGTGCACTTGCTTTGGCGGCTGGGAGGTAGCATAAGTACCCTGGCATGTACGAGCCGATGCTAGTGGTTATTTCGTGCTGTCGTTTGTCCATGGATCGGCCGTCGCGTGCTTCCTCTCAATCAGTGGTATTGCGCAGCATAGGCGGTGGTCCTCATCGATTTCGGCTCCGCGCTCATCGTGTTTAGTTCGGAGGTGCACGAAGAGGACGTCGGGGAGGTCATCTTCTGAGTGTGCGTTGTTCGGGCTATCTTTCGCTGATGGATAGACTCGTCAGAGGCTCCACAGGGGCAAGAGGGGGGGCATTTGTGGTGGGGGGAACCTCGACCTGCAGTCGGCGATACATCGCTGATAGATCGACCATAGGCCCTGATGGCGAACCCCCGCGTTCCCGGGCTGGGTGGGCTATCGGGCCACCATCGGCGATGAATGTCCGGTGGTTCAAAGATGAGTTCTTGAAGGATGGGGGCCTCAGGATAGGAAGGGTTCTGGGGGTAGATCTACGCTGTCTAAGGCACCTCGTCCTCAGGACACTATCCATCATCGGGGGCGCGCAAACATGGATCAGCGATCCATGGATTTGGCGCGCGGTCCCCAAATCCATGGATCGGGGGAGGTGCCCTCCCCAAGATGCGGCCAGTGCCGCCTCAGACGGCCGCAGAAGTCCTCGATTTACCATGGAAAAGGACCCGGCGCTAATCCACGCCCCGTTCACCCATGTGTGCGATCGCCTGACATCAGGACCCCATCGTTGAAGCACCGAGAAGGGCGATTGGAAGTCGGTGCGTCCCCTCCGGGGGTCTTCTGACCCGGGTCAATCCAGACCCGGGTCAGCAGGAAACCCAAAACTGCAGTGCAGGAAAAACAAATGCCACGCAGACCTCCGCAAACCCGGGCCGGCCAAGATGCGCGGCCGCCTCGCGGCCACGAGCGGCTCGCTGACCCGGGTCAGCCAGAGGGGGTCTTCGCAGGATCCTGCAGGATCTGGTGCCCTGGCTCACCCCCGTTTGCACTGACCCCCGTCTCCAGGCTCCCGACCCGGGGCCCCCTCCCCGAGCCATCGGGAGCGGCAAAGAGGGGGGTGCCCAAGAGGGGGGGGTGCAAATCATGACCGGCGGCATGTGCGCGGCCCAACGGGGGGGCCAGGGACATAATGAAATAAGAAGAAGCGCCATGAAATCTGGGGAAATATCATGCCCCCCGCCATGATATCCACCCCCCCCTAGTCATCACCCCCCTCTTTGCCGCCCCCGAGAGCCAGTGAGCCCGGCCGCCCCCGCCCGGCCTCCTGGGCCGCACCTCGGGCCCGGCGCGGGGCCGCCCGCGGGGCGAGCTCGGGGCACTCCCCGGGGGCTGCTCCGCGGCGGGGCCCCGTCATGGGCCCGCCCTGCCTCCAGGACATAGGGGGAAAACAAACCTACCTCGCTTTTGACCACCCTCGCTTCCAAGAGATACCAAACGATGCCAAATTGCAGCCTGTACTGGTCAGGCCGCTTGACGAGGAGGCGCGTGGTACGGCTTGGTTTTGCCTGGAAGCGAAAGCGGGGTAGGTTTTTCACGCTCTGAGGACAGGCCTGCCGACAGTGCCGGAGCCCAGCTGGGGGCCTCTGGCGGCCGACAGCTGCGAAACGTCCACCTGCGAATCCCGTGGCGCGCCCGGAAAACGGGCACGTGCGGGAGTCACGGGTGCTGTGCGCCTTAAGAAGAGCACATCAGCAACGAGCAAAAACGGGTCTGACGCGAGATGGCACAGCGACCCCACGCGGTGGCTCACGCGGGCCGCCAGCGCGGCATGCTACGCTGGAAGCGAGGGCGCTTACGCGCAGCCTTACGCGAGCAGCTTACGCGCCAATGTCGGCGGAGACGACTCCGTCATTCTTGCGTCGCTCACATGCGGTCCAGATCCGACGGCGGCCGCTGCGGGGCAGGCGACTCCTTGCCTCAAGTGTGTGCACCGTCCGCTGCGACCCCGACCAGGGCCACTGCTCGAAATGGACGGGGACTGCTGTCGTCGGTCTTCGTCCCCTGTCTTCCTGGTGGGCTTGTTTTCCACCGCCACCACCATATGTAGGGAGCCCACAAAAGACGTCCGCGCCCAACTGTGTACATGAACACGGCCCCTTGACCCGCGAGACCGGCCGCGTGATACGAGCATTCGCGCAATGCGAACTCTCGAAACCAGCGTGGATGCATGTACGTGCACGTCCTTCCTTCGCTCCTGAAGAAGTAGGAGGGGGAGGGGGGTCCTCCTGCTCCCCTTCGTTCTTCCTCCTCCTCCTCCTCCTCCTCCTCCTCCTCCTCCTCCTCCACCTCCTTCCCCCTCCAACGTATGGTGGTGGTGGTGGTGGAAAACAGGCCCGTCATTCCCTGTCTTTCCGTACCCCGTCCCGATCGCACCGAACTCCCCCCCAAAAGGCCCGCTTTTGCTGCGCTCGGACGGCCGCCCGGCCGGAGGCCGGTGGCCCGAGCGCTCCCTCCGCCCGCGGCGGGCTAGGACCCGGCGTCCCACTCGAGCGTCTTCTGCAGCCTGACGATCGGGTCGGGCGAAAGGGGGGGATAGTAACGGGTGGGTTTGAGAATCAGCTCACGTAGCTGATTTTCCCGGCGCCTCCCGGCGCCGGAGGCGGCTTTGCATCGAGGAATGGGCCCCTCGGTGGGGCCGAAACCAGCTGCATGCAGCAGATTTCGGACCCCCCCCCTTTCCCAATCCCCCCCTTTCGCCCGGCCCGAGACGAACTCGAGGCCCGGCTGCCGCGGGACGCCGACGCCGGCCTCCGGCGGCGGGAACGGCACGCGCTCGGCGGTGGCCTTGTAGCCGAGCCGGCCGTACCAGCTCAGCAGCTCCGTCCGCACGGTGAGCACGTACATGACCGCCACCTTGGCGTCCATCTTCCAGTACGCGTGCTTCTCAGCGGTCTTCACCAGGTGCGAGCCGACGCCCTCGGACTGGAAGTCGGGGTCTACGGCGAAGAGGCCGAGCTCCACGACCCCAGGCGCGACGCGCTTGGCGTGGATGGTGCCGATCACGGCACCGCTCGTCCCCGTGGCGACCTGCAGGATCTCCGTGCGGGGTCCGCTGCGGTCGCAGCTGGCGATCACCTCCAGGACGTCCAGCTCGGTCGTCCGGATGCCCCCTATGATGTCCCGCTCCTGGGTGGCAGCGATAAAGGGGGAAGCAGCTCAAGAGGGGGAAACGTCGACCTGGGATCGGCGATCAGCACGCCGCATGCTCCTGGGTGGGGGTGGGCTATCGGACCCCTGCCGGCGAGGAGTGGGCGCTCGGGGGTCCATGCGTCCCCCCCCCCTCCCCGAGCCTATCCCCCCCCGCCCTGACGTTGCCCCTGCACTCCGTCGTCCACGCGCCCGCGTCACCGCCCTCGTACTTGCCCCTGTAGGCCCAGTTGACCACCTCCGTGATCTCCCCCGCCTGGTCCTTCCTGGCCCGCCGTACCTCAAAGCCTCCTGGATGGGGACCGAGCAGACGGGTTCGGAGGATCGCGCCGCATCGCCGACACATCGGCGATGCATCGGCCATGCATCGGCCATGCACTGGCGACGTTGGCGTGAAGAACATCGGGCCCCACACTGGGCCGCATATCGCGAATGCACCGCCGATGCATCGGCGATATGCGGCGCGGTCCTCCGACCCCATCTACTCCGACCCCATCTGGGAAGCCTACAGAGTGCGGGCGTTGGCAGAACTGGGTTTCGTGGGACGCCCCCCCCCCCCGCCCCACTCCACTAACCGGAACTGCCGCCACCCGGCAAAACACCAGCTACGGAAGACCTGGCTTAGTGGCTCTGGCCACTGTATGGGCTCAATGGGCCCCACTGCTGACCGGGTCCACTTGCCTGGGGTCCTGGCTCTACCCGAAGTTGAGCAGAGACCAGCCGTCCCGGCATTCCTACAGTCCTACCACGAAATGTTCTTAGAAACCCCAAATGTTCCAAGAACCAAGACAATGTTCTCAGAACATAAACCCGATGTGTTAAACCAAGACGGTCCCAGCCAGACATGTTCTGAGAGCACTTCGTGGAAACCACAAGAACGGTTCTTAGAACACTGTTGGGTAGGGCTACAGGCGAGCCAGCCAGGACGCTTCGCCACTGGTTGACCGAAGATTGGAAGCCTGGAAATGGGCACCAACACCAACACAGAGGGTTGCCTCCACAGGGGAAGATGATCCTAGATATTCGGTGTTGGTGGTGATATTCCGGCCACCTTGGGAGCGAGAATAGTACCACCACCGCCGAGATCGGGATCTTCTTCCTTCGGTGGAGGCACACCGCCGAACTTGGTGTTGGTGTCAACCTCTAGGCCTGCGAGAAGAGCACCTCCACCATGACCCTGCCGCCCAGGGGGCTATGGGCGAGCCAGGACGCTTCGCCACTGCTTGACTTATGTCGGGTGTGTCCCCCTACAGGGGGGCTTTCGACGAAAAATTAAAAATACCCCACCAATAACCAAAACAAAATAAATAATATAGAAAGGGAACTACTTGTTGAATATGTTTGGACCTTTTTGGGGCATATTGGGTGTATGTTTTATTCTTCGTCGACACTCCCCCTGTAGGGGGGCAGGCCCGACTTCATGCTTGGCCGAAGAGCACCTCCACCATGACCCTGCCGCCGCTGGGGGCCCTCATCCGGTAGGCGCCGCTGCCCCGCCGCACCCGCCCGGCGCGCCCGCGCCCGGCCGCCCGCGCGGCTCGCCGGGCGAGCCCGCTGCTGGCCGCAGCCGCCGCCGCCCGCTCGGCTCGCCGGCCGAGCCCGCCGCTCCCGGGCGTTGCGTCAGGGGGGGGGGTTCAGTCGGGCCTGTCCCCCTACAGGGGGATTTTCGACGAACAATAATAAACACTTCATAAAGAAGTAAGCAAAAAGTAATCAAAAAATAGTCAGGGGACTATTTTTTGAACATTGTTTGACCTTTTTGGGATATTTTTGCGGTATTTATCTAACAGCGAAGACTGATAGGTTTCTAGCGGGGTCAAAAGAAAGCATCTTGACTCCCCCCAGTGGGCGGGATCCGGACAGATCCGGACAAAAGTGCAGCCCCATGACCTTGGGAATCTTTCGGATTTTTTAGGAATCCATTCCCAGAACACCATTCCCAGGCCACATTTTGAATGCCCAGAGCCAACTGTAGGCCACTTCGTGCTCTTCGTGTTCCCAGAACACCACTACCAGGCCACATTTTGAATGCCCAGAGCCAAGTGTAGGCCACTTTGTGTTCTTCGTGTCCCCAGAACACAATTCCCAGGCCGTATTTAGAATGCCCGGAGCCAACTGTAGGCCACTTCGTGTTCTTCATCTTCCCAGAACACAATTCCCAGGCCACATTTTGAATGCCCGGATCCATCTGTGGGCCACTTCGTGTTCTTCGTGTTCCCAGAACACCATTCCCAGGCCACATTTTGAATGTCCGGGGCCAACTGTAGGCCACTTCGTGTTCTTCGTGCTCCCGGAACATATTTTGAATGCCTTGAGCCAAACTGTGGGCCACTTCGTGATCGTCGCGTTCCCAGAACAATAGTCCTGTGCCATATTTTGAATGCCCGAGCTGAGGCAGGCTGAGGCCGAGGCAGGCTGAGGCCGAGGCAGGCTGAGGCTGAGGCTGAGGCACGCCGAGGCAGGCTGAGGCTGAGGCTGAGGCTGATGCTGAAGCAGGCTGAGGCTGAGGCAGGCTGAGGCTGAGGCTGACGCAGGCTGAGGCCGAGGCAGGCTGAGGCTGAGGCTGAGGCTGATGCTGAGGCAGGCTGAGGCTGAGGCAGGCTGACTGAGGCTGAGGAGGCTGAGGCTGAGGCTGAGCAGGCTGAGGCTGAGGCTGAGGCCGAGGCAGGCCGAGGCTGAGGCTGAGGGAAGCCGAGCTGAGGCTGAGGCTGAGGCTGAAGCTGAGGCTGAGGCTGAGGCTGAGGCTGAGCAGGCAGACTGGCTGAGGCAGGCTGAGGCCAAGCTAGAGGCTGAGGCAGGCTGAGCTGAGAGGCGGCTGAGGCTGGGCAGGCTGAGGCTGAGGCTGAGGCCGAGGCAGGCTGAGGCTGAGGCTGAGGCAAGCCGAGGCAGGCTGAGGCTGAAAGGCTAACGCTGAGGCTGGCTGAGGCTGAGGCTTAGGCTGTGGCTGAGCCTGAGGCAAGCTGCGGCCGAGGCAGGCTGAGGCTGAGGCAGGCTGAGGCTGAGGCTGAGGCAGGCTGAGGCTGTGGCTAAGACCGAGGCAAGCCGAGGCAGGCTGAGGCTGAGGCTGAGGCTGAGGCCGAGGCAGGCTGAGGCTGAGGCTGAGGCTGAGGCTGACGCAGGCTGAGGCTGAGGCAGGCTGAGGCTGAAGCTGAGGTTGGCTCAGGAGGCTGAGGCAGGCTGAGGCTGAGGCAGGCTGAGGTTGAGGCTGAGGCAGGCTGAGGCTGAGGCTGAGGCAGGCTGAGGCTGAGGCTGAGGCCGAGGCAGGCTGAGGCTGAGGCTGAGGCAAGCCGAGGCAGGCTGAGGCTGAGGCTGAGGTTGTGGCAGGTGAGAGATGCGGTGTGGATGGTGCAGGTCACGGTTGTGGCTGAGGACGAGGAGCAAGAGCGGGGACTGAGCAGGCTGAGGTTGCGGCTGCGGCAGGACTTGCGCGGCCCCTCATGCAGGCTAGGTGGGCAGCTCGGGATGTAGGGCTGTGAGGCCTGAGTGTGAGGCTTGATTATGCAGGCTGGGCCTGAGAGGCTAACGCTGAGGCTGAGGAAGGCTGAGGCTGAGGCTGAGGCCGAGGCAGGCTGAGGCTGAGGCTGATGCAAGCCGAGGCAGGCTGAGGCTGAGGCTGAAGCTGAGGCAGGCTGAGGCTGAGGCTGAGGCTGAGGCTGAGGCTGAGGCAAGCTGCGGCTAAGGCAGGCTGAGGCTGAGGCTGATGCAGGCTGAGGCTGAGGCTGAGGCAGGCTGAGGCTGAGGCTGAGGCAGGCTGAGGCTGAGGCTGAGGCTGAGGCAGGACGAGGCTGAGGCCGAGGCAAGCCGAGGCAGGCTGAGGCTGAGGCCGAGGCTGAGGCTGATGCTGAGGCAGGCTGAGGCTGAGACAGGCTGAGGCTGAGGCTGAGGCAGGCTGAGGCTGAGGCAGGCTTAGGCTGAGGCCGAGTCAAGCGAATCCTTCGGAATCCTTAGGATTCCCTAGGAATCCTTAGGACTCCCTAGGATTCCCTAGGAATCAGGATTCCTAAGGATTTCTAAGATTTCCTCCGGATTCCTATGGATTCCTAAGGATGCCTAAGAATGCCTTAGGACTCCGTAGGAATCCTTAGGATTCCATTGGGTCCTAAGGCCGTTGCCACTGCGACTGTCATTGCGAATGCGACTGCGACTGCGAGAACAGCATACTTCTACAACTGGATTATCACCTGAATCTTAAGGGGAATGCTTCCAGATATTCTTATACACATCGCTGTTAGGTTGTTTTGCCGGGATAATTTTTATTTTTCGTCGAAAATCCCCGTAGGGGGACAGGCCCGACATAGGGGGGGGGCGATGCCCCTGCCCTTCCAGGAGGGCTAGAAAATAGCACAAGAGGCCTTGGATGCCCACACTCGAGTCGAGGTCCTGAGCAGTCCAGGCGGGCTGGCGCTGTGGGGGGTCAGGGCACCCAGACCCCCTCCGGGCCATGAGCAACTCATACGGTGGAACCGTTGCCGCCACTTTCGGCCCCCCGGGGGGGGGCCCTCGTCCGCCCTCGGGACCGCAGCAAAAACAGAACGACTCCGGCTGGAAAGCTGGCCCTGAGGAGGCCGCCACTCGCTGGTGCGGACTCCTCAGGATGGGGACCCGCAGGGGGCTCGCATGGGGGGCGGCCGTCCGCCGCCGCCGCCCGCCCGCCTGCCTCCCCTGTCCCCCTGCGCGTGCCCGTGCCCGTGCCCCCTCCCCCTCCTCCCCCTCCCGAGTGTGGAGGCCTGCGAGTGTCCACTCGCTGGTGCGGACCGCCTCCGCCTCAACGCCGACGGGAGAACGTGTGAGGAGACCTCCGGGGGCCCACGTCATGAGAAATCGTGGCGTCGCGCTGCGCACACGGGGGGGGTGAAAAGGGGCGCACCTCTTTGCGCACCTCAGGGGGCCCAAAAAGGGGCATGGCAGGCGCACGACTCTTCGCCCCCCCCCCCTCGCTTCCCAGACCCCCGACGTCGTGATTTTGCGTGACGTGGACCCCAGAGGTCTGTACCCATTCCCTGGGAGCGGTTTCTCGTCCTGAATCGTTTTCGACGGTCCCGCGGCCTCGCAAGGGCCCCCAGAGACCGAAAATTGCCAAGAACGTAACTCATGTCACTGGGGGTGTCGGTCGGCATGGGGGGGTTACGGGTAACGGCGGCGGGCGTGCACCCCCCCAAGCGCGCTCCCGCAGCACCGGCTCAACAATCATCCGTGCGCACCGAACTCCTTGTGCACACGACAAAACCTGCGTGCACCATGCCTTTGTACACCCTGGCAGTTGCGTGCACTATAGCACGACATCGCCTGCGTACATCATAGCGCTTTGCACACCGCAACAGCCGCGTGCACAACAGCGCCGGTTTACGCCACAGTGCCTGTATGCACCATATTGCTTTTGTACACCACATCGCCTGCGCACATCACAGCAGCCATGTGCACCACAGAGTCAATGTACACCACAGTGCCTGCGTGCACCAGAGCGCTTTTGTACACCACAGCGCCTGTCCAGACAACAGCAGCAGCGTTCACAGCAGTGCCTGTGTACACCACAATGCCTGCGTGCACAACAGCGCCCGTGCACAACGCAATGCCTGTGAACACCACTGCAGCCATATGGATTGCGGCGCTTGTGTCCATTACAGTGCCTGCTGGCACCATCAGCTGCTGCAGCAGCAGCAAAAGTTTGCCCCACAGCATCTCAATGGCTGTGTGCACCACGAGCCTGTGCACTTTTGGGAGATTCCAGCCACGTCGGTCGTCGTCGTCGTTGCAACCGTCCTCCTCCTCCTCCTCCTCCTCATCCTCCTCCTCCACCTCCTCCTCCCGTCTCCTCCTCCTCCTGCTCCTCCTCCACTTCCTACTTCCCTTGATCCCCTTCTTCCTCCTCCTCCTCATCATCATCATTACCATCAGCATCAGCAGCAGCTGCAGCTGCTGCATTATCTTTATGATCATAATCATGGTCATGATCATGATGATGAAGATGATGATGATCATGAACTTGATCATGATCATATTCATCCTCATCCTCATCCTCATCAACGTCACCATCATCAATGCCATCATCAGCAGCAGCATCATCATCATCATCAACCTTATCATCACAATCACCATCAGCAGCAAGATCGTCATCAACCTCAACATCACCACCACCATCACCTCCAGCACAATCCTCATTGTCCTCATCGACCTCATCATCATCAGCATCCTCATCATCCTCATCAGCATCATCATCATCAGCAGCATCGCCATCAGCATTGTCATGATCGTTACCATCTCCATCGTCATCTTCATCCTCACCATCAGCATCATCCTTATCACCATCACCATCATCATCCTCAGGATCCTCATCATCATTACCACCGTCGTCATCATCACCACCACCATCATCACTGTCACCATCGTCGTATTCATATTCCATGTCAATATTCATGTTCATCATCAGTATCCGCATCACCAGCATCATCATCGTCGTCGCCAGCAGCATCATCAT